TTCAACAAGTGCTTTAAAATCTTTAAACCTCCAAAAGCATTCATTCTTGGCTTTAAGAATATAGATCCAAATATTTCTTGAATAATCATCAATGAAAGTGAGGAAATACCTTGATCCTCCAATACTTGTATTTTTCATAGGTCCACATACATCTGAATGGACAATCTCCAGCAACTTGGTAGCACGTGTTGCTACACTCCTTGGAAATGAGGCCCTTTGTTGTTTGCCTTATATGCATCCTTCACATGCAAGTTGTTTTACATTTTGGCTTGTATTTCCAAGATCTAAGCCACTTACCATGGTCTTGAGTTCTTTCATGCTCTTCACATTCAAATGGCCAAGGCGACGATGCTATATATTCAACCTGTCTTCGTTTGATGTAAACTCAGTAAATGCAGCTATCTCCACTCCATTCACCTTCTTACAAATGAGGTAGTACAAATTTCCGTCTTTCAAGCCTTTGAAGACCTTGTCTCCACTCAATGATCTTACAAAACATCCATTCATGTCAAATTGAACTTTAAAACCTTCTATTACAAGTTTACTCATCGAAAGAAGGTTTTGCTTCATCTTAGGCACATAAAGGACGTTTTTGAGTCTGATCTGATTGGTTTGTCCATTCACAACCACCTCCACCATAATAGAGCCAATTCCAATGGCTTCACATGTACCATTATCTGCCAATACCACGTTTGATGCTGGAATAGCTTCATAAGTATTAAATGAACACTTATAAGGTGTCATATGCTTGGAACAATCTGAATCCACAATCCATCTTAACATGGCAGCCATAGAGGTCCCATTTGTTACCGTGAATGCATAATCTTGTCCTCGAAACTCATCTTGCATACTATTTGCATTCTCCTTCTTCATCTTTTTGTTTTTGTAGCAATTTCGAGCAAAATGGCCTATTTTGCCACAAATGAAGTAAGATTTGACATTACCTCGTTGTTTTGGATAGTTGCCCTTGCCTTGACGTGAATACAATGCTGAAACTTCACTTTGGGGCTCCTTTTCTTTCTTCTTGGTTACTTCATGGGCAAGTCTTGCCGTCACATAGTCCATTGTAAGTTCTTTTACCTTGATGGACTCCAATGCCATAATAAGGTAGTTGTAGGATTCGGGAAGGCTCATTAGCAAGGTCATGACAATATTACTTTCTTCTAAAGGCTTGTCAACAGTTGCTAGTTGGTTTGCAAGAGCCTTTACCTTATTGACATGAGCCATGAGGTCTTCACCTTCTTCCATCTTGCAAGTGAAGAACTTCCTCCTTGTATAAATGATATTCGATAAGTTCTTGCTCTCATAGATGTTGCAAAGAGTCTTCCATACTTCCGCTAGTCCTTTGCAAGAGATAATGTGAGAAAAGTTGGCTTCATCCACATTTGTTGCAATCAATACAAAAGCCTTCTTTTCACGATGTTTGAACTCCTTCTTCTCCTTCATATCAGCATCTTTGCTTGGAGCCTCTTCACTTTCATCTACAATATCCCAAAGATCCAAAGATGCCAACAAAAGCTCCATTTTGACCTTCCAATGGTAGAAATTTTCACCTCTAAACTTCTCAATAACTTTCAAGCCTTCACCCTCACTTGAAGCCATGTCTAAGGCAAAGTTGTATCAACAAAAGTTGTAAGAGGAAGTCCTAATGCTCTTAAAATCAGTAAGAAGGTTTAGCTGCCTTAGAATCACAAAATCCTTCTTTGTGAACAAACTAGTATTTTTACTCTCAAAAAACACTCTCAACTTCACTTCTAAGGCTTCTCACAAGTCTGATGACCTTTCCAAATCTAAATTGTCACTCTAATATCTCTCTTATATTCACAAGTCACCTCTATACACCAAAAGAGGCATATAAAGCAAAATAAGCAACTTTATGTAATAAATTAACCATCAACACCAAAATGCTCTTAACCACAAGTAAGAGCAAACCAAGATCTAGATCTAGATCTGAATTTGAAAGTTAGGTACTTTTAATGCCTAATATCAACAACAACAACTTGATCTACTCTACACTTACAAAATAAAATACTTCAAAGACTTCAAAAGACACTCCAGCAAATGTGAGTGGGCCCATAACCTATTGAAGAAAAAGAAGTCTAAAGGCTACAAACACTTAGCATCAGCAAGTATTGTACTCTAATAGAAGTATGGAGGAAGATAATTCTTACTTCCAACACTCTTTACTTATAGGTGGTGGTTTGCTTACCAACGAGGCAACTTCCATTCATTTGATATTACATCTGTTTCTACCTCTTCTTAGTAAAGCCTCGGTACCACCATAATAACTTACTTTACCTCTTTGCTACTTTTTTACTATTAACAACATACTATGCTTAAACTTTATGTGGTTGTAACTAAGCAAGTATTTGCTGTTCTTCAACATAAGTATCTATAATATAGAATAGTTAATAATATAGGTGTTATTTTTAAAATAAAAAATAAAGCAATAATTAAACTTCTTTCATGATTTTTGTACAAAATTTATAAATTTGATATTACAAAGTTTTTTGATTTTATTTTTGTGGTTCAAAATAAATTTATATCATTGCAATGAAATAAATAATTAAACATAATTTTATAAAGATTGTCAAATGTAGATTTTCTACTTAAAAAAAGATTTAAAGTTTTTGAAGGACATTAATCCTAATTAAGCTCTAAAGAAGCAATACATTCTTGTAACACTCAAAAAGAAAAAGCAGACAAATCAAAGATAGATATAAGATAGAAATTGGAATATCTATTGCCAAATACAAAGAGACTAGAGATTCTTGAATTAAGTCATAAGACATAAAATGTATTGACAAGAGTGAAGAAGGCGCCACTCTTACCTCAATATATACTATTCAATTAAGAAGTTATATGGCAACATGTGTAACACATGGCCAACTTGTTGGTCAATTTTTTAACCTAAAAATCACCTAAAAATATTTAGAAAACCAAATGTGCATGTATAGAATTTTTGAGAAGCTTCTCTACAAAATATTATCAAATTTATCTACTTCTACTTACTTCTATTTAACTCTTCTTATCTTAGTAATTAATACGTCAATGACAATAATATATAATAAAATTAAATAGAATTAACATATTAGTCTTAAATTTCTTACTTTACAAATTAAAAGGATAATAAAATTATTATCAATTTAGATGGAATTTGGAATATTTTTTACATTAAATTTCATTATAGCTGTAATAAATTAAAAATATATGCATTACAATTTAATTTAATTAATTTCAAAATAAAATAAATTTCGATTCTTGATTTTATAACTAACTAAATAAGAGTTTGTATATGATTAAAAGATGCTACAAAACCTGCAACAAAACATGTACATATGAATATGTGATAACAAATATGATTGAAATTGTTGCATGGTAAACAAAATAAATTTTAGTATTATTTTTTTATCTTTTTGAAAATAATAAATCAATGACATATGCTGATTATACTATTTGATGTTTACAGTGTATAGAAAAACCAATACCATTATAAAAGTCTTATTTCTAAAAACAATCATACAATTATTGAAGGTTGAGAAATATCACACAATTTTATGACATTCATGTATATGACAAGATAAATCTTTGGCATTAATTCAGCTTTATAACTATTTGGAAATAGAAAATATGAATGATAAGTGTACACAATCAAATACCTTGAAAAATCCTACACTAGATGCATGACCAAGAGTGCCAATTGTCACCAACTTTAATTATTTCAAAATAAATCAACTCTTTTCTGGAAACGTTGTGCTAGCTTCACATAGTGGAGGGATGATGTCTCGCTAACATGTCTCTTACAAATCTCACATAAATGTCATAGATTACTTAACAAGATGCTCATCCCACATTGTTGTATTCAAATGTGGCAACGCTAATATAAGAATGGTAAAAAGCAGGCTTCGGCAATGAAAGATCTGCACAAAAGCTCATCGTCTGTTGAAACTAAGTTGAACAAAACACGTTGAGCAGACCACAGTTCGGAACATGGTCTATCAATACTTCTGTGAGGTATTTAATTATATAATGTAAACATTGTAGAGTCTATACTTTCTAAGAATATTTGACAACTCGTTCTGCTCAGAGCTAACCCCAAAAAACTACAAGAAAAACTGCATATTGATGTCTATTCCAAATGGGCAACAGTGATCGGACATGTGCAGAAGGTTTGAATAAGTTATTACCATTCGCAAGGACTTCAATTAGCTAATAGTTCAGGGTTGTGATCGTGAAAACCATAAAGATTGCATAAGACCAAAAACTTGACCTAGAAGACGAGCAAGTCATATCCAATCGCCGAAACAGCTGAAGAGAAATAAATTTCCGTGATGGTCCAAGAAACATTGCCCTATGACTTCGACGTGGAATCTGAATGCTCTCCTTCATACCATTCAAGCAGTATTCGAACAATCATGAATTCAGCATTTCAGTGTGCGCCGATTGTGGCAACGATCAATGTGCTTGAGACTATCTGCGAAGTCACCTCATCTCTAGCTAACTCATGATGTTCATCTTCCTCCCAAAAACCAACCCTCTAAACAAGACTAACGTGGTATTTCTCACAGAATTAGCTTGACTCATACGGGAACTGCACGCACAGTAGGAAGACTGCGTAAGTAGCGATTTCTATAGGTTTAGTCTACGCTCAATAACCTACGTGAATTAACGCAGATGTAGAATCATACCTTTCACAGATCGAAGCGCCGCACACTCTATTGACGATGCCTTCAAAACGCCTGTGCGCTTGAGATTGTGATCGCCGCTATCTCCAACTTCAAGGACTATTTTTCAGTAGGTCTAAAATCGACAGAAACCTGATTCAACCCGCTAAAGAGCTAGCTTATTCTAAACTCATTCTGGCTTAAGGTACAGAGAATAGGATTACCCGGCTGTTTACAATTGAACAAGACTCTGAGGCGACTTAAACTGAGAAACAAACGGCGAGGACATCATTTGCATCGGACGAAGAAAAATCCTTGACCAGACTGAAACAAAAACACATTGAAACTTATTCACTCAGTGACCATTAATGAAACTCCCAGGCTAGATAATGTGTGGGTACAAGTATCCAACTAAGAGAGTGCCAGAATCAAAAGTACATTCGAATGAACATAAAATGTTACTGCAGACGACGTCGTGGGAGTTTTCCTTCGCAAAAACTACAAGACAGAATCTGATTTGAGAGATTTCCCAAACCAAATGATAATCGTCTTACTCGGTTTTAGGAAACGAAAATAGTCCAGTTTGTATCTGCCAGCTGAAGGACTGGCTTTGCATGATCTATTGACGCCCCTATCAACAAACTGTGAGATTCCAGAGAAGAGATCTGGGTAGACGTTGAAGATGATCCTCATCACTTGACATCGTCAAAACTGGATGCTGTCGAATTCGTAGCCAGCAATTGCTGTTTGTGCTACTTCCTTCCGAGACACCTAGAGCCTCAAAATCCTCATCGGTAGAATTCATCTAAATCTTCTATTCATCGCATGGCTCTCTCGGCACGGCCCCTGCAATACAAAACAAACGTTCAGTACTGAAAAGCTCAGGTGAGAAGGGATTAATTAGGGCTTGGCATCTACGCAACAGTCTACACGCACCCGAAGATCAGAAAATTGAAGCCGAATTGTTAAGCGTTGATGACATTGCGCAAGCTAACACGTAAGATTTGCCACCTCGTGTCCATTGTGGTGAAGGGATTTGGCCTCCAATGGTGCTGCCACTAGCTCCGCTTCCGCCTCCACCTCCACCTCCGCTCCTATTCGCGCTCTCCCCTACAAGTCTAGAACTAGACGGAAATGGTCCGAGCGGTCCTAGCGCTCCGGAAAGGCCAAGAGCCTGAAGAGCTTCATACGAGTTTACTCCAGCCCTTGCTAGTTCCATGAGATGCTCTCTAGAAAGATGTGAGGGATCTCCTCTTGCGAGATCCATCAACTGTTCTCTCGTTAACATGTGCTCCCGGTAGACCTGTCCTGGAAGAAGACCTGTGCCTATTCCTAAGGACGATGATGCTCCCCCTGTATACCTCGCCAAGTCTGAATGAGCGATAGATAGCTCAGTCTGCAACTGCGCGACCTGCCTTTGCAACACTGATATAGCGCCCACGCATCCGTATACGGGATCTTTCACCCGTGCGTCTGACTCGTACGCAAGAGAATTCACCGCATCCTCCCTTCGATGCGTTGGAAGTTCGTTCAGAAGCTTTGTAATATTGCTTGCTCCAAATATCTTGTGAACATTGGCGAACTTGTGCGGCTGGTCGGGCGGGAAGTAGGGCGCAAAAACACATTCTTCCGTGCATTTTCTCCTCAAAAACTTGCATGCAGCGCACGGAAAACTCGAGGAAGACGCCATTCCTGGCTACCAGATCCCAAACTTAATAAACAAGAATACCATTCACCGCTCGCCCTGACCACCTCCCAAAAAATATACATCTACCAAATAAAAAATGACAGGCTCTTTAATTCATCCTACACGAAAAGCCTAGTATTCTCGATCTTCCAAACGACTTCAACGTAACTCTCGAATTCCAGCTATCAACACGAACAGTCACACAAGGCTTTCCGTACGGTTGTGCCCTGTCTCTATACACAGTTAACCCCAAGAGCAGCGACAGTCCCAGTCTGTGCCAAGCGAAAACTCGTGATCCAGAATTACAAGCAATACCTCACAACGCTCGGGGACGCGATAGAATTCAAGGTCAGAACATCAGAGAAACACAATGGACCCCACAAACTCTTTTCTTCAGGTGATTCTCAAGTGTATCGGAATCGCGGAAGCAATCGGGCTCAAGGAACTCATCAGATCCTTTCTCCAGTGACCACCAAGAATAACCACCGCCACCACCACCATCATCATCATCTTTCCCATCCCAAAAGACTCGTAACCGACATTAGCTAGCACCAGAACCCATCAGCAGGAGCAGGAGCAGGAGCAGCAGAAGGGAGGAAATCCCATAAAGCACGGACCTCTTTTCATGGTTGTCGAGAAGGCATCACAAAATCCATCGTCAGTGCCCTAGGGAGCAGCGGCGTTCCGGCACCACCCCACGTCCCGAGGAGGAAGCTACTGTGTCCCGAGGGAAGGAAGGGAGTGAGGGAGGGAGGGCTCTCCTCGCGCGCACCGATCAGCGCCCAGGCCCGAAAAGCCTCCTCCTCCTCTTAGTGCGGGGCAACGCATTCATACTCTCTCGCTCTCTCTCTCGCTCCACTCTCTATCTGTTTGTCTGTGCTGCTGTGGCACGCACTCTCACACTCTCTCTCTCTCTCTCTCTGTGAGTGCAGCTCCCTTCCTCCGAGTCTTCCTCCGACCTGGCCCCTCCTCCCTCGTGGTGCTGCTTTAACGACCCCGCCCGGCGCCGAACTCGGCAGCAGCGCCACCACGCTTCGTTAATCCATCGCCGCAGACCACGCGAAGGCCCCCCCCACGCTAAGACCCCTCCTCTTCGTTTTCTTCTTCCCACAGAGGAGACGCCCTGTGACCGCTCCCGCGCTTGCCCTAGCTCCACCTCCCCTCCGAAGCCCGGGTCAGCCCGAGGAGTAGAGGCGCTTCGCAAATTTGGTGATGTATGTTGTTATATAACTAAGTAACAAGGGTAGAATAGAACTAGAATTCTCAATAAACACACATTGTATACATATATAGAGATGGTATTCCTAATCTCACCACAATTTTTGCTATTGTAACCACAACTTTGTACCTAATTGACATATTATTTATTTCTTTTTTCTTTTTCTTTTTCTTTTAAATTTTTTATTTCAAAATATATAGTAGATAGAGGGATGCGGTGGTAGTAGCAAATATTGTGGTGGCAATAGCAAATATTGCAGTCACATTAGCAAATATTGTAGTCACATTAGTAATATCTTGTATATATATATATATATATATATATATATATTTATAAAATACTAAAAAAATAGTTTAAAATTTCTAAAAATAAATAGAAAAAGACACAATACTTTTTATTAGAAAAATTAGTTATTTAATTATTTAATATAATTCAATATAATTTTTTTGGTTAGGATTCTTTTAAAAAGATATGGTTGATTTATTTTTTTAACAATGTTAAAATAGTTTTTTTAAGAAATAAAGTAATTTCAAGTTTGTAGTGCATTACAATTTCTTTTGATGAGATATTTTAAAAAGATGATTATATATATATATATATATATACATACATCTACATTTTTTATACTTTACCAAAGATGTCAAGTTTTTACTTCCATCACAATTAGTTAAATTGTAATTGTAATTTTACTAAACTATCACTAAGTAATAATACATAGTATGGCTATTTCTTTCATCAAAGCTTGTCAATTGTTCGAAGACAATTGTTGCCTAATGTTAGTACTTAATGTCAAATTGGTGGGATTCTTGTTATATTGTTATGGTGATTAGTCATTATATTTAAACAATTTTTAATCAACATATAAGCAAGTCTTAATAACTTAAAGCTTATCTTGAGAAGTTTTTGTACAAAGTCTCATAAAGATTCCTTTCTTGGTGAAGAAAAACTCACTTTTGAAAATCTTAGTTTTTAAAAATGTTATAAAGTCAAAAGAGACTATGACATAGATGAGCTAAGTTGTCAAAAGGTAAATAAATATAAATAATTTTTATTAAAATAAAAAATCTAAGTTGTCTCAAATTTGATAATTGTTTTAAAAGTTTTTGAAGATTTTGTTAATTTTTTTAATCTACTATATATATATTCCAAGCTTAAAAAATTATTTGTAGTATTTTATATTAAAGTCTAAAAAGTATCAAAATTTGATAAGTTCTTACACCTTATCATATCTAAATTACTTAGTAGTAAATATTTACAAAATAATTTTAATATTTGAGATGAAAATAGTGGTTGAATAATATGCAAGAAGTCTTAAAATATAAATAATAATTTCTTGAAATATTTTAATAAATATAATTTGAAAACATCAATATTCTAGATTTTCATCATGATATAAATTTATAATCAAATCCAAATACAATATAAAATTTTAAAAGAATATTTTTTTAGAAAAAATAATTATAGTTTTAAAAATAAAATTTTAAATATATTTACAATAAAAATAATCATTTATTTTATTACATGTAACTTAATATAGTTTTAGAGTAAAAAATATTTTTAAAATCATTACATGCTAAAATCAGTATAAAACCAATTTTATTTTAAAACTCTAATTTAATTTATTCATTAAAAATTAGATAAGATAATTTTTTCTTTTAAAATAATTAGAAGATACATAATTTTTTTAAAAATTAATTCAATAATCACTAAAAATTTGGATTTTTAAGATATATTTTTATATTATCTAAAAATATTTTAATCATAAATTTAAAAATATGATTTTAAAAAAATTAATAAAATAAAAGTTTTATTAATTAAAAATTAATTTTAAGTCCAATATTTTTCTAAAATTTATATATCTATATATATATATAAAGTTGTTAAAGTGATACTTCTACTTTGTTAATGTTATACTTCCTTACTATCTCATGATAAATTCTCTATCCATATCTTTTATACCTTCTTCTCTATTCTCAATTTTATATCTCAACTTTCTATCTATGTTTTTTGTTTTCCATCCATAGCTCCAATCTAACCCCTTCCCTCGCTTCCATCAAATACTCGTGTCTCCCATTTCTATTTCCAAAGATGGGAGGTGAGATGCATTTGAACCATTGGATTTGTAGAGAATGATTGGAATAAGAATGAATTATTGGTGTGCAAAGAGAGTTATTGAAAATATTAGTAGTGATATAACTGAGCATGTTCAAAGAGCTGTCATGCCTCTCAAGCCATTTTATACTCAAAAAAGAGACATAGTATCAAGGGCATAAATCTCAAAGAAATAAAACCTCAATACATTCTTATGTCACTCAAAAAGACTAAAAAATCACTTGAAGATGATATAGTAGTAATCTAGAATGACTATTGCCAAAGACAAGAAGTTAAGGAAGTTTTGAAAGAAGATTAAGGATTAAAAAGGTGTTGATAAGAATGAAGAAGGCTTCATTCTTGCTCCATATATACTCTTAACTAAGAGCCATATGGTCATGTCTTGTAAGTCCTCAAAAACTTGTTGACTTTACAAGATATGTATCTTAACTTATAAGACAATTTTTCTATATATGTACTACATAGTTAGCTTGTTGTGCAAGCTACCAATATGTGGTTAACTTGTTGACTAAATTTCTAACCTACCAATTAACTAAAAACTCATGTAAAGTCAAAGCAACATCTATAAAGCTTCTAAGAAGCTTGTCTAGAAAATATTATGAAATAAATTTACTTTTACTTACTTTTATTTAATCATATAGGTAAATCTTAAAATAAATATGTATGTCCGTGACACATAGTTGTATCATAAGCTCTATTATTCTTTACTTCTGCACCACCAAATGTGGCAATACGATAAGGTTTTAGATTGAGATGAAGAACTTAAGAAGAAGGGAGAGATGGAAATAGAGAATTAATCATGAGATAGCAATGAAATGTAGCATTAACAAAAAGAATGTATGGCTTTTACAACTCTTTACATAAACACACACACACACACACTTATATATATATATATATATATATATACACACATATATATCAAAATGTTAAGATAATAATATCTAAATATAAAAAAATCAAGCAATTTATATCTATAACTATAGTAGTCCACAAGTTCTTATGATATATATATTTTCAAATAAAAAATTAAATATTACCTATTACAATAAAATATATTAAAATATAAAAAAAATTAAAAATAGTTTTTAAGTTTTTTTTTGAGAATTTCAATAGTAAAAAAAATTATGTAGTAATATAATTACATATGTATTATATTTTTTGTTGTTATTTTTTTTCTTATGGCTATTTTTTCTATATTATTAATCAATTTCATTGCTTAAAACTATAAAATAAAAATAAATTAGTTCAAAACTATTTTAAAAAATGATTATTTTTTTATTAAAATTATTTTAAAAAATAAATTATAAAATAAGTTTAATTTTTTTAAATGATTAAATTTTTTTAAAATTAATAAAATAGTACTATTAATAGCTATGAAATTATCAATCATATTCATAAAATAAGTAAAATTCTAATAAAGTTCTAATAAAATCTAATGAAAACTTTTATGTAAAAAAACATATATATAATTTTTCATCTGATCTTTAATTGAAGTAAATATCAACTATTAGATCTATTGAAGAAAACTGACAAATTCCCTTTTTTATATAAATTTTAGCTATATTTTACAAATTAAAGTAATCAACAAGAATGCATATAAAAGATTTATAATATTCTTTAAAATTTTGTTGATCACATGTTATGTTTAAAGACATATCTTAGGACCAAGAACAAAATACATCTATACATAAATATCTTGTTTTGTTATAAAATTTATGTCATACTATAAGAACCATTACATTTAAGAACAAATTTATTTCATAACTTGCAACTTTCATCAATCACTTCTTCTAAAAACAGCAACAAATACAAGTCTTTCTTGTGTTAACATTTAATCTCTTCCGATCAACTAAATTCTAAATTTTCTACCTGCCATTAGTTAGCAAGACTTCTTTCTATGACCAAAACAATAGCCCCAACTACACATCAATAAAAACTTAATAACATAAAGCCCATAAATGGAAGTCCTACTACTTCAAACTAATATAGAAAGATTAGAAACCAACAAAAAAGTTGTGGAAATTGTAACCTCCTTCGAAGTTCTCTCAGCAACTTGCCAGCGGCACCAACGTCTGCAAAATCTAGAACTGCATCGCTGCACAATCCAAAACCAGAGGCACCGAGTGTTTATTTTCCTACATGTTTATACAAAAACATGCTATTTGTGATCCCTTTCATCAAATGTCGGATAAAACAGATGACGTTGCGATGTGTTAAAAGGAAAAAAAGGGTGCTGTTGAAGTGGCAGCAATGAAGCTCAGAGACCAGCTTCGGAGTACTGCAGTTGAGCCATACTGAACGTCTTATTTACACGATGAGAGCTAGACAGAGTGAGACACACTATTTTGCCTCACTTGCTGTTACTATTCCTCTCTTGTTTTGTCGATGGAGGTCCTTGCTCTCATTCTTATGGTTTTTGCTTTTGTTTTTGTTTCTGTGTTCTCTTCGTTGGTCTTCACGAGACTAGTCGAGTTCACCAGGCACACAACAGAATGATGTGCCGAACTCTCCGAGATGATCCTCTCGTGGAAGTTCTAAACTTGAAGCGACTACAACATCCAGTCTGTAGTCAGTCAATTTGATGAACAAGGCATCAGTTTACTACATTTTGAAAGATGCCCATGACAGGCTCTACTATGGGGACAGTGTTTGCAAAGTCTGAGGTGAAAACTCAACATGAGATTGTTTTAAAATAACATTGTGGTGTATGTTTGTTTGATTCATCGTAACATATGTGCATATGTACATTAAATCTCACTTCAAACCATCAATACGAACGCTCATTGGCATTGTTGCTCTTCTATTATCATCATATGGTTATCTAAATTCAGTAAAAAAGGTCATATTCTCATAACATAGTCAACTTACTTGGTAACTCACACACAGAACTCTAAATACTTAACTCTAAATATATGTGTGTGTGTATATATATATATATATATATATATTTAAATTTTGATGTATAACCATGATTGCAGTTGTACTAACATGCAATATTGTTTCTGTCATTGTATATAATTAAGGTTAAAACTTGAGCATTGAAGTTTCCTTTGAAACACAAGAAGGCATAAAATAAATGTAAAACAGACATCAAAGTGCTCGTGGTAAAAATCGATTTGCCAAACTCCTGGTAGATATGATATTACATTGTAAAAAAAACGTGTAAACAATATTGAAATGACCTCTAACCTTCCTTTTATCCTTATAAGTTAAATCAGAAAAAATATCAGATCTACTCAAAAACATGCCACAACATGAGTGAAGATCTGTTTTCTTATTTTTGGGTACTTCAGAAATTCTAAAGATATAGTTAAGATAGAACATGTCAAAGTGGTCGAGCACACATCAACAATCTGTAGGGCAGAAATGATACCACTCTTTCAAAACCTGTACCCACGAATATTGCAGAAGCATGATCTGTATCAGGAAGGGGCTGACAATGACTTAGTAACATGGCACGATTTGTTGAGGTGACAGGCAGCTAGCGCATACCACAAATTATATCCGTGTGGATAACTTCTGAAGATTTCAGTACGTCTAAGACACATCGATATGCCGGCCTGACTGCAATTTATCATGGATAAGGGCTTTGTAAACGTGGCTAGATTGTGCACATCATTCTAAGGCTAGAGGCTCGTGGCTACGCTCTTGCCCAAATGTCATCCTGTAGAACCATGAGAAAATAGATCTGTTGAGTTTTCACAGCAAATCAGATAAAGATGAATTGAACAATATGAGTATAAGGCAAATCAAGCAAATACACTATCTCGGTAAAGGTCAGCACAATGTGTGCAAATTTTACAATTTCTACCAAGCAGGAAGAGAACTCGGCTTTATACACTGTTGCCAGAATGGTTGGTATACCAAGTATGAACTTGGGTACCCTCCATCGACAGTGTACCTCCTGGGTGATTCCATCAACTAAAATACACTTGCCTATCAGATTATGATCTAATCTTCCTTTGCATCTTCTTTAGAAAGCAACAATCTGAATATCTAAAATTAGTAGACCACACCAATTGTTTTCTTTTGTGATCATTTTGTGCCCTTAGAAGCATTTTTCAAGGCATTCACAAGAGCCTCAAGATATGCAGGGGTGCTATGATCAGATAACATCGAACTTGAGAGCACAATGCGGCTAAATCGAGATTTATTGGTGTCGGTTCCTTTCACGACTGTGTAAGTGTACTTTTGAGTCTCAGTTTTCTTCTCAGTTCCTGTCTTTGAGTCACTTTTTGGGCTTTCCTTCTTTGATTCTCCATGATTCTGGTTCGCTTGATCCTGGCCTGCTTGAACTTCAGCGGCTTGGTTCTGTTTGTCTTCAGTTTCGAGCGCTGGATCCTGCTTGGTTTGATTCTGGTTGACTTGAGTTTTGAGCGCTGGATCCTGCTCTGCTTGATTTTGTTCCGCTGGAGATTTGTACATCTCATTCAGAGGTTCACGGGTGATATGAAAAAGTAATCCAGGAACAAAAAGTCTACTTTTCACCAGAATGTCCTGATTGCTTTCCGAAGTGGTTGTTGCTGCATTGGCTGCAAGAACAGCTGCTGCTTCTCCCTCGTTTGTCTCCTCAACACTCTTCTCTATGGTGGATAATGATTCGTTTACACCTCGTTTAACTGGTTTCCCAGTCCACACACACGAAAATCATCAAACTAACATCAAATAGAGACAATTTCATGTAAAATGTAAAAACTCGATGAATCCAGTGACAGTCAAACCTAAATTTCATACCTCTATCAGTAGCTGCTGCGATAAAACTAGTCGCAGCCGCACCTCCCAATGTAAGCCAAACATTGGGCTTTTGGGATTCCGGGACATCAGCAGGTTTTGTACGGGAAATCCTTGAAAGTAAGGTATTCCCTGCACTTAAAAGAGCACTATATCCTACATTCTTCGTTTTTTCATAAAGCTGTTGTGTTTCAGCAGACACCTCCTTCTGTTGGAACCTTTCAGCTGTTGCTTGGAGCATTTCCACAACTAGTCTTTTGGTGGTCCCATCCTTGAAGGCTTGACTCCTACAAGATTTTATACGTGACGATGTTAATTCAAATCATAACTGTGGTAATACACAACAATCTTAAAGAAGAAGTTTCAAAAGAAAAATAAAAAATAGTGTAGAACACTTAACATAGTGAATATATTCGATTGAATATGCATTTCGCAAGTTATACAAGACAATGCATCTCATACAGTTCCTTTGTAACATGTACCAGTCTGTTTGCTGCATTTCCGAGCGCAGGTCTTCCAGTGCTGCCGGGGTAACACGAGCCACCACATCATCCTGTCATCAAAAAGATATCTTCATCAATCTAAACCCGAATGAGATTGGGGGTTACATTAAATTTATATCAATGAATTTAAATCATTAAGGGTATACTAAAAAAAGAGAGTCAGAAATAACCTGCAGCACGATGTTTTTTATGAAGGAGGATGAATTTGCAAGGTTCAGGTCAACACACGGTGGGCAACCGAAGCCCCAACATGTAATCATGACAGGAGGAATATTTAAGACTCTTGAAGCTTCTCCAGATGGTTTGGATTCCGTCTCCCGAAGCAAGAGAGACAACAGAGCAGCTGTGCCCGCGCCTAGAGAGTGCCCCACGACTACCATAGAGTACCCCTGCCACATTACCTTTTCTTAGACAAGCACCCTGTTTAAATTATAATCCAGGCACACATCCCACAAACACGTGGTATACTTGTACCTCTACATAAGTCCCACCTCTACGTATTCGAATCATCATGTGTGAATTATACATCTTAACTCACAGGATTTTCTTGGAGAACATCATGCAAAGTCTGCCCTTCGCTATTCAGCAACCCTCGTGCTGCTGAAAGCATTCCGGAGTGCGCATACCTGAACGCAAAATATACTTAGCACCTCAATTGGACATGCCATCGATATAAGAACACCTGAGACAATTGCAACGAACTCCATCTTCGTACTTCAAAGCTCTAAAAATCTACTACGTGACTTTATGGAAATGATTAATGAGTGCCCCTCCAGACACAACCTAATGAGGAGTATTCGTCTCATACAAAGCAAGTCATAGGGCTTGAGTGGACCCCAATGCATAAAAACTCATCGATAAACTCAAATGTAAAATATCGGTATATAAGAAGAAAAAAAAGAAAAAAGAAAGAAAGAAAGAAAGAAAGAAAGAAAGAAAGAAAGAAAGTAAAAAGAAAAGAAAAAGGTCAGCTTGGAATGCAAGATTTACCCTCCTTCAAAGGGTTCGCTGTGGGTACTTAAGTCTGTCAGCACGTCTTGGGCAGTATAGGTACCTCGAATACCCATAACCACACATCTACGCTGGCGATGTACAACAATGTAATAAGCAGGTTGCAGCACTGAAGCGGTGGCCTCTAGCTTCACAATATCCTCTTCTCGTACCTGTTCGACCAATTGGAGAGGTGGTCTACATTAAGGAGCTCCTTATAATCTGTTCTGTTTGGGATTCTCAATGGCCCAGCTTGATTGTCACAAGACCAGGTGGTGAACCGAACGAGCTCTAAATGTATTAACATACTCTACACCAACAACAGTCTCGCGTCTGAGGAACATGAAACAGCAGCACTGGAAAAGCAAATTACCTTCATGGTAGAGGCAAGTGTTGATTTCTTGTCCTCATATGCCGCTGTAGCCCAACCTAACCATTCCAACATGTCATCTAGTTCATTCCTGAGAAGAATATTGTCAAGGAAACAGTTAGTGTCATAAATTCTGTAAACATCAAGATCAGATTATATTACGCAACCTTCCTTTTCTGAATTCCTTATTTGACTTGAAAGGGAATTAGACATTCAACGTCAAAAAAGAAGTTCTGTACACTTGAGGAATAATCAGCTCATTAAAATGAAATCTGTAAGGTTTATCCAAGTCTAAACAATTTATCCAAGTCTAAACAATGTTTACGAGTAAGAACGCCCCGCATTTGTTTAACAGAGATAGCAGTTCATACTTGTGCTCAACAGGGACACCAGTGATGGTATCCACAGCCTTCTCCACGGAATGTCGGTTAAACAGCTTGAAAAGTCCAAGAGTTATGTCTCCAACGCTCCACTTGCTCATGCTCGAAGCGCTGTGCATCACGCTCGCTGCCACAGCCGTAAGAATTTGCTCCATCCCCGTTGGTGTCTGTGTCGTATCCTCTTCTGAAACCAATCAAAATTAACTGATATGAAAAATACATCCACTAAGACAGTGTTACCAGTGTTTCCAGCACCTGCCGTGCTTCTGACTTCTTTAAATCTACATCTTCCAAAATTTCCCACCATCTAGCGATATAATTCAAGTGGAAGGTATTTAAACCTAAGTAGATCAAGGAAGTGAAGAAAAATGGCACCAAAATAGAAACTATGGAGCAGGGAATATGTACCCTTCCATTCAAGCTTCCAAGTTCAAGTTCTACAAAACAGCTTGCAAGTAAGCAATGTGTTCCTTTCGAGATTAACATTTATTAAATTGTGGTCGATGTTTAGCAAGCTTTTGGAAAGGTAACGAAGCAGCACCCATGTACAATTTCTCTAGAACATACTCGTAAAAAAAAACAAAGCGACTGATCCGCACCAAGATTACAACGAAAAACCTAATTGAACATCATAACGAAATTCCTCGCTATCAGTGTCGCATCCAAAAGAATAATACTAATGTGAGAGATTCAGATGCTGAAACGAAGGGGAAGGGATTGAATCTACGCACTGGATTCATCGATGATACTTTTCTGAGAATCCAAAGCCCGTCTCTCGCCTGCCATCCCCTCATCGCCCTGCTTCCCTTCCGAGATTGTCATGACTCTCCCTCCTCCCTCCTCCATCCTCCTGCTTCCTCTCTCCCTTAACTCCACAGCAACAACTCAACAGTACCAACCCCACTGCACCAACACCACACCCTAAATTCTAACCCCAGTTCCAAATATTCTCCGCAACCCAAAATCCACCACCCTTCGCGAATTCCCTTCTCTCCACTTCACGACCGATCGCACCGACGCAATCCCGAATCCCCAGACATCCAATCGAACAGTTGCAGATTGCATACAAGTCGAAATTTCGCTCTCAAAACCCGACCGATCAAGTCAACCCAGCTGCTGCAAGAAACATAACCAAGGATTAGAGCAAAAGCTAAAAAAACATACGAGGAGTGAGGGTGCGATTCTCCGAAATGTATGAGATTGCAAACCAGCGACCGCGATGACGCCCTCGACAAATTTCGAGCCCCAAGTTCCGTCCCGCAAATTCCTCCCATGATGCCATCGTGGCGTCCACGTCACGCCACCGACACTGAGTCCTGCCCATGAGCTCCTCACGGCTGTCAACGTGGCGCCGTATCCTCTCGGTAATCAGTAACCGCGAAGCGCGGCCGCAACATCGTGGATCATGGGTTGTGCTTACAAACGTGATTAGTCTACTGGTATCATAAACTGGCTGAACCTTGTTAACCTCTGTTCGATCCATTGCTGATTGTGTATTATTTGATTGGGTGTGATGGCTATTAACAATATGTTTATGATATTGTGGTTCAAGGAAGGGGAAATTACATGATTGAATTCAAAATACTATTATTTTGTAAAAATATAAATGCTATGTTAAAATATGGTTCTATATAGTCATTTCTAATAATCTTATAGAAGTCAAGATTTGTGTTTCTTTGTTTAACTACTTGTAATATTTTATGCAACTTACTAAATAATTCTTTCATAAAAATTTCTGGCAAAGATTGTAAGTAAAAAGAAATTAATAAAATTTGATACCAAATTTTTTGAATTAAAATTATATATATATATATATATATATATATATATTAATAGTAAAATTACCATATATGATTTTAAATTTCTTATAAAATATTAAACCATGAAACATTGTTCAACACTGTAATTTAGCAACTATTTATGGATTTCAATGTGTATTAGTATTTTTATATGTGTTATCAAATATATATTAATAATCATGTGTAAACATATTTATAAAGATATAAGTAAGACCTCAACCTCAAGGGTGTATTTAAAAGTGTAGATTTATAATATGTGGTATTTAAAATATTATCTATAAAAACATTGGATATTTAATATATATATATATATATATATATATATATATATAGTTTAACTTGTATTATATTTCTTTATTGAAAGAGTTGTTGCCCTATAAGAAATTTTATCATTAAGTGGACATTTTTTATAATATAATCATACAAAAAAAAAAAAAAAAAAAAAAAAAACTTATGTAAGATGTTGTATAAGAAGTTCAAAATAAGAAAATTAATTCAAATATTACAATGTTGAGTAGTTCCTTTAAAGAATGCTAACATTATGTATTAAGGACATGAATCTAAACAATCTTGTTAGAAGAAGAATATATTCATGTATGTTTAAGAAAGAAGAAAAAAGTTCAAAAAGAAATATATTTGTGATGTAGGTTGGTAATAATATAGCTATTGCTAAGTATAAAGAGACTAGAGGGTTTTGAAGTAAGAGTGGGGAACAAAAAAGATTTTGACAAGAAAAGCAAGAAAAAAAGAAAACTAATAGAAATTTTTGTAACTACCATGCACACCTACAAATCTACTCCATGTCAAAGAACCTTCTTTGATGTTTTTTATAAATATATCATACACCTAATCTATTCCTCACTATTGTTTTTTTACTCAAGTAGTGTATATATAACTATGAATATATAGAACATAAAAATTGAATAATATAACATTCTTTATCATTATGAATATTATTATTTAAAATATAATAAAAAATAATTATAATATTAAAATATTTATTTGTGTCACATGAATTAAATGTCTAACAAAAAATAAAAAACTTAATTTTACAATTATTATATATCATCATTATATTCTATGTCCTAATAAAAAGAAAAGCAAAAGCACATGAAAGTTTAATAACACACATGATGTAAAATGATATGAAATACAATGAAAAAGATAAAGATAATAAGATTTGGTGGAAAGTGCACATGACAAGGCAATTGAGATTGGAAGAGAGTCTACTTATTTGCATAGATATAAACAAAGCGCGGTGATGGGATAGGTTTGTTTCATCCACGTCAAACTCACAGGAAGATGAGATTGTGTAAAAGAAATCGTGCACGTGATAATCGTTTCCTTCCCCCTCAAGAAAGCGGAATCAGATTGATAGGCTCAACGGACGAAAGTAGGACGAGAGTAGGACGGAATAATTCTGTCCGTCCGTCCCACTCCATGGCCAGCGGCAGATTGTTCATGCTTCCGTTTGGATTGTAAGATTGCTTGAGAAAAAAATTGTTTGCGACCAAGTTTGTCTCTGACATTTGCACAATTGGACGCGAAGAATCCATTGCTATCGAGCGGGGACGAGTCTCGGGGTGGGAGCGATGGGGGACCACAAGGCGAAAGGGATGGAATACGAGAAGACGGCTGAAAACAAGCTCAACACCTGGGCTTTCTTCGGGAGCAAGTATGAAGATGCGGCCGATTTGTTGGAGAAGGCCGGGAACTCTTACAAGCTTTCCAAATCCTGTGAGTGAAAATTTTATCAGCGCTGATTTTGTATCTAATTCTCTTGTTTGAAGTTCAATTGGTTGAGTAGTTCATCTTGTTGTGCACAGGGGACGAAGCGGCCAGCGCGTATATTAAGTTGGCATCATGTCAATTGAAGGTACGAAAATCTCACGGGGATATCGGCGGGACAAGGATTGGAGTTGGAACGTGAAAGATACTGTAGGATTGGATCATAGCTGTAGATTTTCAATAAATTTAAAATGACAAAGAATCTAGGGTTATGTCTGTTATGTAGTACGTGGAGAATTTACGTAGCTGATTCGGGTTGCAGATGGATAGCAAGCATGAAGCAGCTGCAGCTTACGTTGATGCTGCAAATGCTTACAAGAAGAAGCCGGACTCCCAGCGTAATTCACTCTTCATGATTGCTGTTTCACTTCATTTCTTGGTGTTGAATCGCCAATCTGTGGAGCGTTATATTATTTTGGTGTCATACATACGTAGCTAATAACGTCGTGACTTTGTATTACAGAGGCCGTGAAGATGTTGGCCATGGCTACACAGATGTTCGAAGATATTGGACGGCTATCAATGGCAGCCAAGCATTACAAGGTGATCTCCCTCGCTCTCTCTCTCTCTCTCTCTCTCTCTCTCTACTCTCTTCGGTTTTTTTTTTTTTTTTTTTTTTTTTTTTTTTTTTTTTTTTTGTTCTTTTAGTTCCTCCGACATTTGCCATGGTAGTCCTTCACTTCGTATTGTAGATACATCGATAGTTGCAACCGACGTCGTCCTAAGAGACCATTCCTTTTATACAACATGTCATTTTCCCGAATATTCATTTACCGAATTCCTGCATAGATGCCTCACGGCTTCTAGGGAAACGTGTTTAACTATCGTTAATGGTGTGAATTTGTGTTTCTAGATCGCGACTATAAACTGGTTTGAGTACTTGTTACGTGTGTAAATTGAATGTGATTTGTAAAGCGAAAGTGTGAAATATGTTTTTTATGCATACTTTATGCCACTACCCAGGTATATCGCTATTTTTAATAAATTCAGATCTTGATGAAGCCTCTACTAAGTTTAGTCACTCGCTAGGCAGGAGCTGCATGTCGCTGGCTTACTGGAGTCAAGGTACTACACATTTTTGATGACCTAGATGTGTATCTACAGGATATAGCGGACATTTATGAGAAGGAAGAAGATTTTGGAAAAGCAATGGAATACTACGACAAGGCAGCTGATCTTTACTCGGGAGAGAATATAGAGAGTACTAGCAACCAATGCAAGCTCAAGGTTGCACAATATGCTGCGCAAACGAAACAGTAAGTTGAACTGTTCCTTTCAGTTCATTGGTCATGAGCATTACAAGTTCACACTGGCAATCGATTTTTGCGGTAACCAAATGGTTTATATTGTTGTGCATCGAATGAACCTACGGTTTTATACTAAGGAGGTGACGCTGTGGTTGTTACATAGGATAAAATGAAATCTAAGTGTTTATCTTTTATTTGGTTACATATTCAACATTTGTACAAAATTCCAGCTTTTTTAGTAATTTCTAACGGCATATTTGGTTGTTGTGACAGGTATGAAAGAGCAACTCAAATCTATCAAACAGTAGCGAAGAATTCGATGAACAACAACTTGTTGAAATATAGTGTAAAAGGATACCTCTTGAATGCTGGTCTGTGTCAGATCTGTGGAAAAGACATTGTTGCTGTCCAGAACGCCATAGAAAGTTATCAGGTGGGTTCTCTAAAGCGGCAAGTCTTGATACTTTTTGACAGCGTGATAGATAGTGTAATCTAGAAGAGTTTGACGGCAAAGAAATGATTTAAACGTTGCTGCCGCAGGAGCTGGACCCTACGTTCTCTGGCACTAGAGAATGCAAGTTTTTGCAGGTATCTTCTCAGCCATGCAACTTATGCCATCGACTTCTATATATTGTTAGAATGTTTCAATTCCTATCTAGACAACTTTATTCTGAAAATGCAGACTGAATTCTTTGTGTTTGAACCTGAATTGTAAGCGTTGCGGGCTTATTGCAGGATTTAGCCGCATCGATCGATGAAATGGACGTTGAGAAATTCACTGAAGTTGTGAAAGAATTCGACAGCATGATCCGTCTGGTGAGCTTCCTGACACAAAGAGTATCTGAGTAGTCATCATCAGTGATGTGTTGTGTGAAGGATATTTAGTTAACATAAAAGCTCATCGAAATATCTCAATGTAAACCGTCTTTGCCAGTCAAATGATAATTTCGACGTAGTAGTTTGTTGAGCTTCCCTCCTGAACAGGGGTATGAATAATTGACTTTGTCGACTACCTGCGTGTTGTCATGATTGTGGCTACAATGGACTTGCAGTGTCACTGAGGTTTAAAGTAATGGACGTAGAGATGCCAGTCAAGGAATATTCGGATCGCTTGCAAATTTTTCATGAAATTTTCCGCCAGGCCTGACATTGGACCTTGCGGATTCAGGATCAATGGAAAACCACTTTGCTACTTCGAGCAAAGAACGCTTTGAAGACCAAAGGAGAGGATATTACTTGAAACATTGAACCAGACTTCAGTGCCGCCCCAAAAATATATTTGTTGCATACTGTAGAGCTAGCAGTCGTTACAACATTCTGCATACTTGTAGATATCCTGTAGGTGGCTTGACTTGGTGTTACTATTTTTTAAAGTTCACTGTGACCATGGATTGCTTCTCCGCGCACACCTCATATCTTTTTTAAACTTAGCATTTGATGGGTACTGCATCGACCATACCGTGAACCAATCGTAGTTGTAGAAGAGCCCATTACATACTTGGCTTTGCCCAGAAATGCGGAGTTTAACTGCATTTCTGGTCCGTGATTGTCTCAGACCGAAGAACCTACTGTGTCGTAATTTTGAGTTAGTTTGAGGATGAGAATGTCTCCTATGCTATCTTATAGCCTCTTTCGATGTTATCCCTACCAATTATCAGTGTACATAGGTTTTGTATTGATCACCTGCTGTAAATTTATTAGGGAGGATACCGTGGTGATGGGAAGGAGATAGTTCATAGAAGGCTATGTACACAAATAATCTGAATATGTTTTAGAGTATTTTGTAAAACATATCAATATTTTGTAAAAATATCAAGTTTTTAAAGATTTTATAATTAGTCTTTATTATTTTATATCATATGTTATATGTTTTTTAAAGTTGAATATTTTTATTAGTATGGACACTCAAGGAATAACTTAAGTTGAAATAATTTATTTTTTATATGTATTTAATTTTATTCTTCATGAATACTTAACAAAACATATTCTTTTTTTTTTTTACCCTTCTAAATTATAACACCAATAATAATACCAATTGAAATAAATGTATATCTCAATATATATATATATATATATATCTATGTGTGTGTGTGTGTGTGTGTTTTATTAAAATTTAAAATTTAGCATTAAAAGTTGAAACTTTATAATAAATTTTTATTTAGAAAAAATTAACTCCAGTATAATATAGTAATTTTAAATTTCATATAATCACATAATTTTTTTATTTATATAAAATTTTAAAATTAATACTATCAAGTAGATGTTGGTATTTTGTGTAATTATATACTTAAAGTATTTTTGAAATTAATATTAGAAGAATTTAGATAATATTTTAAAACTTTATTTATACTTTTTTGTCATAAAAATACCTTAGCAAAGTAATCACATCCAAGTCAAAGTCTGTAGAGAGTTCTCACTAATCAAAATTTGATTGGATGGTAATAAAGCATATTTTTAATGTATTATTAATAATAACCTTACAATATAATTTAACTAAGAATATGTTATAATTTTAAAATATATAATTTGCTATAAATTGGTATGTCTTGTGCTTCTTTGAGAATATGCATAGAATTGATTTTCGAAATCCACATGTTTATATTCTACTACTACATTGTTTTAGTATTATATTTAGATTGCATTATATTATTAATATCTAGACTTGTATTTTTAAAAAATATTTAAGAAAAGTTATTTATACAAAAATATATATATATATATATATATATATATATATAGTATAAGCTTTAAATTGAACAACAAAGATTAAAGAAAATATAGAAAATAGTTTGTAAAAATAAAATTTTATATTTTATGTAAAACAATTATTGGTCTTCCTTATAACAACAAAGTCAAGTTTATTTTCTTTTTATTCTTAAAATATTACACCAACACAAATCTTCAACACATTAGCCAAAAAATCTACTACTTTCATTGTTGTAAACTTCTATCATCCTCACTTTAACTAAGTCCAAAGTTCATGTAAGAAATATCACATGTACAAAAAAGCACAACAAAAAAAATCAAAAGTTTCAATTAGTCTCTATCAAAACTTGATCCAAAATGCAAGGATATAATTTATTCAAATTAATCATTTATTACTAAGAGTAATAGGCTTACATCCAAAAATAAAAAACACAAAAAAATATATATATAAAAAAATATAAAAAAATAACAATCCTAATTCTAACGATGGAATCTCAACAATTCTAAATAGACCCTAGTAAAAAGTTAACAAAAGTTGTGCCAAAAAAGAGAGAAGAAAGAAAATAAATAAATAAATAAAGTAAGGTGCCTTACCAAGACAAACAAGTCTGTCCTTTGATGTCAGCATGGTTACATTAATCACGTTCTGATACGCTTGGTCGTGCGAAGGAGTGGCCTTCTGATGCCAGGATCCAGTTGAATTAGCTACCAAAAAGAAGATAAAAAAACATACAGAAAAAAAGGGGTGTAGAGTTTCATATTTGTGCTAGTGGCATGGAAGTTTGTCCATTCGAGCACCGAAACATCTTCTTCACTGCTTGAGTGGCATTCAGTCATTCTCTCTGCATGCTCCGACGTTGGTGTTTGCTGTAATCTGCTCCGAGTGTTGAGTCTAATCAATATAGTGTTTTTGTCACATCAATAGGAGCAGGTGTAGAATGTTCTCTGTCCGTATACCTAGGAAGCTTGTTGGTCCTTTTTTGATCTTTGTAAACAATTCATTCTCTTCCGAACACCAACTTCCTACACAACAGATATCTTGAGAACAAACGGTTTCCTTAGGCGTATGCATACATATACATGTACGTTTGTATATCTATTTATGTGAATTCAGTTCTTTACAGAATTTTTTGCTTGGACCGAAAGCAATAATCCTATTTAAAGATCGACAAAGTTCCGTTTTCACAGTTACGATGTGGTTCAATCAAGCGCGAGCTAGTGAAGGAAGTGTGTGTGTTCTTGGGTTAGGATCGGCGGTTGGGTGGGTCAGTTGCAAACAAGTCTCATTGACAGGAAACCCCCATTTGGCAGCCATCAACACACACAGCCATCACTTGGTTGTGTGCGCGCGCAAGCACGAAGGGGCACATCGTCGAATGAATCACATCTGGAAGTGGAAAGAGGAGCAGTAGGATGCAGTCGATCGGAAGCACCTTTTCTACACACCGCACTATATTCTTAGCTCTGAGTCCATGTGACCAATAGTAGTAAGTGGCCAGCCTAGATGCAACAAAACCGCTGCAACGTGCTCAGAAACTACAACCGACCCACTAGCGACAACAAAATTTGTATCCGTTTATGAAGATACAATGTTATGGATCAGTAACTAAGTTCGCCAGGATGTCAAGGTTTTCTTCTGACATCGACTAATCCGAAAAGCAGCATGGCGAGACAACATTTCGGTGGGGTACTTGGAAGCAAGTTCCATCTGCAACGAGCCTTTATACGAGATCCATTGTCAGGAACTCGCTCAGATCAGCTCCTCCGAGCAAGTAACGACACAGAGATTGTCCCACCGGGTAAAACCAGCAATAGAAGTACCAGCACTCACTGGTCTTCAGTCTGGATCTGATATGGTGCCACTCTGATCAACTGATCCACAAACAATATGAAAGATCAAGCTCACTGTTAGCCATACTGATGATGAACGAGAGCCTTACCAGACTTACATTTACAGGAAATCTGTGACCAGAACTCAGACCACTCATGAGGTTGCAACGGGTCATTACGATGAGGATTTAACGTGGATCTCAATCAAGCTTGAGCGGAATAGAGCCTTTTTAACACATAACATAAAATAAAATAAAATGTATGTATATATACATATATATATATATATATATATAAACTAAAAACAGTGCCGCTTGTGTAGACACTTTCGAGGATGGAAACGGGTCAAAACATTGGCCCTCTCTAGAAATCAAGACTTTCCCAATCGTAGCCAACCAATCGTCTTGAAAGTGTTTTTTTTTTTTTCTAGTATCTAGACCTTCACGTTTGAATGACTTGACAACGAGGTGGGAGTAGCGTACAACTGCCTCTGTGTCAACATTCTTTTGTCGACATGCTTTTGGGTTCAGCAGCTTGCATTCCTGGCATAGTACAACAACCATTGTACAAAGATGATCTAGAATGCCATGTTAGGTTTTGGTATAGAAAGCAGCGAGAAGAATGTCTCTATTCGTAAATGATGTGCACCATTGCAAGCTTTGTCATACACTGGAGGATATGTTCATAGCTGTATATATATATATATATATATGTATATATATTTAACTGTTTGAATTGGTGGAATAATCCACATGTTGGGTCAATTGGCGGCTTGTACCCAATTGAGATTTTTTCGTTATTGTTCAAGTTTTGTTGGCACTTGTTCCTTTCTTTTTCTGTTTTGCAAACTGGGTCCAGTGATGTGTACTAGCTTTAAGGTTGTGGTGTCCTTTATTATCTGTAATGACATCGTTTTCACTTCTTTCTAACGTCTGTTACATTGAATTGACATGATTCATCATTGTTTGTAAAAAAAAATATATATTTCTTTTGTTGTTGAGAGAGATGTATTCAAAAGAGCCTCCACCGTAGAAGGTTTATCTTTGTCAATTTTGAATGTTGTTCAAAATGGTCAATAGTATTGTAACTATATTTAAATTTTATTAGTTTCTTAATTTTTTTGAAATGAAATTATTAAACTTTTTTCAATTTCATAAATCTTTTCTCTCTTTCTTTTACTTTATCAATTAAAATACATTTTTATTTTGAACTTCTTTTCCAAAAACAGTAACAGCACAATTTTATGGTTCAAATGTGTTTTGATTTTTTCTCACTTGTACTAAAATGCAACACATTTTGTTATGTTTTTTTCTGCCAGTTTAGCCAGTCATATAGAATATATACAATTTATTTTTAAAATGAAAAAAAAAATAACAAAAAAGTCCCGTAATAAAATTTGAACTATGCTTTGAACTATTTTTTGCTATTGAACAACGTTGTGCTATTAATAGAGATTGAATTAGACCAAAATTAGTTTTCTTGGTTATTTTTGTTTGAACTTTGACTAAAAACGCTTCAATTCTCTCCAATAATTTTTTTAATTTCTTAAATAAATCCATATAAAAATCTATATGATTTATTTAGGTTTTATTTATTCATCTCATTCTTCTAATTGTTAAAGAATTTGAATATTATTAAATTTTCATGTTTCTCTTTGGT